ACCCCATGTTAAAAACAAATAAATAATTTTAAAAGATCAAGTCAAAAACTGTTATGGAAAAATCATTTTTTAATCTTTTTTTTTTTTAAAATTGAGCAATAGGGACATCACTGGGGCCATAAAGGGCAGGAAATAAAGGAACATGTGAGCTTCAGGGGGATGTTGCTCAACTTTCTCCAGATTGTTCTTGCTGTAGGTGGCAGGTCTCCCTAGGTCTGTTTATTCTGCTTCCTGAGATGCCAGGCAGGAGGCTTTCTCCTCTGTGAGTAGCCATGGGGTGCTTCTTCCAGTTTCAGCAAGTCCTGGCCTTCCTGGTTTGTGCTGGTGGTTGCTGGCAGTGACTCAAAGCAAAAGCCCATGTGGTAGAGCAGGCCTCTACTAGGCTTTGTGGCACCCGCTCTCTGCACTTGACTCCTCGGCTAGCAGAGTGCAGACATTACTTTCTTCTGCCCAAAAAGAGACTCTGGAGAGTTGAGTAGAGGAACATCAGATTTTCTTCCAGGCCGGCTTCAACCTTGGGATGTTCAAAGCAGCCTCTCGTTGCAAACCACAGTTTCTGAGGCTTGTTGCTCATGGCTAGTTAGTACGGAAGGGGGCTTCTGGATGAGGAAGACTTAGGTAGAAAAATGACTCAGGTTCTATCTGCAGTGGTGGGCAGGGGAGGTCACTGCAGAAGAGGTATTTGTCCTTTCTCCCAAATGGCTCAGCCAGCCAGCTTCTGTGAAGTCAGCCTCCTGCCACTAGGCTGCAAGCGCCGAATTTTGGGGCTAGAGCAACCCAGGTCTTTATCTGACTCTGTTGTAGCTCGACGTCTCTTGGGAGCCCGGCTGGGGGCTGGCTTCTCTGCTTCAGCCTTTGCTGGGGTGGCCAAAGGAGCATCCCCATAGCTCCGGTAGCTGCCAACCAGGCAGTATGTCTCCCCATGCCAGCCTACCTGAGTTTCTCCACACCCTCGGTAGAGGACATGGTAGTGTCCAGGTGTGGGAGGAGAAGTGGCAGGCACTGCAGCTGGAGAGAAAAGCAGAATTAGTCACTTTTACCTTCTACACTGTGCTGCCATGGCCTCCCTTCTCTCATGTCTCTTCCTAAAAAGCCCTTTCGTCTTCTTGGCATCTGAGACACAGCCTTGGCCTATCACCGATATGTGTCCCCTAAGACGGGATGCTATCTGCAAGAGCAGTTCTGTGGAGCCTGTGGCAGCAGCAGGAGATCTGAGATCTTCCTCATTCACAGAGAGAACAGTAGAACCTCCCAGTAACTGCAATTGGATCCCCCTCCACCCGCTGCCTTCTCTCCCTTCCATGACCAAAAAATACGTTTCTTAAGGGCTGTCACTTCTGAGGCTATAATGGAAATTATTTTCAAGTTTTGTAAAAAACGATCTACTATAGGCCAGGTGCAGTGGCTCATGCCTGTAATCCCAGCACTTTGGGGGGCCGAGGCCGGCAGATCATGAGGTCAGGAGATCAAGACCATCCCGGCCAACATGGTGAAACCCAGTCTCTAGTAAAATACAAAAAATTAGCCAGGCGTGGTTGCATGTGCCTGTAGTCCCAGCTACTCAGGAGGCTGAGGCAGGGGAATTGCTTGAACCTGGGAGACAGAGGTTGCAGTGAGTTGGGATCATGCCACTGCACTCCAGCCCAGTGACAGAGCAAGACTCCAACTCAAAAAAAAAAAAAAAAAAAAAAAAAAAAAAAAAGAGCTACTATTGTCCAGGCATGGTGGTGACTCATGCCTGTAATCTCAGTACTTTGGGAGGCTGAGGAGGGTGGATCACTTGAGTCCAGGAGTACCAGCCTGGCCAACATGACGAAACCCTGTTTCCACTAAAAATACAAAAATTTAGCCAGGCATGGTGGCACGCATCTGTAGTCCCAGCTGCTTGGGATGCTGAGGCAGGAGAATCACTTGAACTTGGTACGCAGAGGTTGCAGTGAGCCGAGATCTCACCACTGCATTCCAGCCTGGGCCTCAGAGTGAGACATTGTCTCAGGAAAAAAAAAAAAAAAAAGGATCTAAAATTGCGCCACTGCACTCTAACCTGGGTGACAGAATGAGACTAAAATAAAAAAGATATAATAGAAATTGATGTGCCAGGCACAATGCCTCACACCTATAATCCTAGTACTTTGGGAGTCTGAGGTAGGTGGATCGCTTGAGCTCAGGAGTTCAAGACCAGCCTAGGCAACATGGCAAAACCCTGTCAGAACTAAAAATAGAAAAAAGTTAGCTGGGTGTGGTGGTGACAAATGTCTGTAGTCCCAGCTACTAGGGAGACTGAGTTGGGAGAATCCCCTGAGCCCAGGAAGTTGAGGTTTTCACTGTGATTATGCCAGTGCACTCCAACCTGGATGAGAGAGACCCTGTCTCCAAAAAAAAAAAAAAAAAAAAAAAAAAAATTCAAGACCAGCCCCAGCAGTATAACAAGACCCCATCTCAATTAAAAAAAAAAAAAAATTAGAGCCTTTCTGAACACCTGCTCAGATGACATTCCACTTGCCCTCAGCAGTGAGCAGGAACACTGTGGGTCCCTCAGTGGCCACGCCCTCAATATTACTTATGGCTGGGAAAGCTCCGAGGTGTGGTGGGCCAGCCCAAAAGGAACATGTGCCACCCAGTGAAGCTGTAGGTACAGCCACGCCTCCTGTATAGATGCCCACTGTAGGCCTACCTGCTGCGTTGCCCTCCCAGGGGACAGAGGACATGTTAGAGAGAATATAGAGGATCCGGTCAGACATTCTCTCTCAGCCAACCAAACAGATTGGTATCTTGTAGAGAAATGGTAGGGAGGTTTCCCCAGGACACAGGTGTGTAGTCACGCTGCCATGGAAACTGTGGAAGCCTGTGAGGTCATCACTACCCAGTGAGGTCACATAAGGAATCTGTGACCTAAGGGGCAGGCTTCAGGCCTTCAGGGTTTTGTGGAGGAGAACAGGGCAGAGCTAGAGAGAAATCCTGCCTGGGCCCTCCCATTCAGCCCTCCCTACCGGTGCCTAGCAGCTACTGTGTGGAGCACATCTGTGGGCTGGCACAAGCCCCAGTGACCACAGGAGGGCAAGGGAAACCTAAATTCTGAGATGAGCTGGAGAGGCAAGATTAATCCAAGACATAGATAGGTAGCCACGCACTGGTCTAAGGAATCAACAGAAGGAGAGGCAGAGATTGGGATGGACAAAGGGATCACAGAAAGACCTGAAGGACAAGTGAGATCTGGACATGCACAAAGTGTAACTGCCCAAGGGGTTCCCCTTACCCACGGCCTAGACAAAGCTGATTTATCAAGACAGGGAAATTGCAATAAAGAGTAATTCACAGGGCCGGGCATGGTGGCTCATGCCTGTAATCCCAGCACTTTGGGAGGCTGAGGCGGGCGGATCACAGGGTTAGGAGTTCAAGACCAACCTGACCAACATGGTGAAACCCTGTCTCTAAAAAAAAATAAAAATATTTTTGAAAAAAGAAAAAAAAAAAGTAATTCACACAGAGCTAGCTGTGCAAGAGACTGGAGTCGTATTATTATTCAAATCAGGGAGCATTCAGGGATCAGAGTTTTAAAAAATTTGGTGGTGTTGGGCAGTGAGTCCGCAAAGCTGATTGGTTGGGTCAGAGATGAAATCAGGAGTTGGCTTGGGCGTGGCAGCTCACACTTGTAATCCCAGCACTTTGGGAGGCCAAGGCAGCAGATCACTTGACGTCAAGTGTTCAAGACCAGCCTGCCCAACATGTTGAAACCCTGTCTCTACTGAAAAAAAAAAAAAACAAAAATTAGCTGGGCGTGGTGGCGCATGTCTGTAATCACAGCTACTTGGGAGGCTGAAGCACAAGAATCACTGAAACCCAGGAGGCAGAGGTTGCAGTGAGCCAAGACTGTGTCACTGCACTCCAGCCTAGGCAACAGAGTGACACTTCACCTCAAAGAAAAAAAAAAAGAAAATAAATCATAGGTAGTCAAAGATATCCTCTTACCTTTAGTCAGTTTCTTGGGTGGTGTCAGCTGATCCATTAAGTGCAGGGTCTTTGTTATTTTATTTATTTATATTTTTTGAGACGGAGTCTCTGTTGTCCAAGCTGGAGTGCAGTGGTGCAATGATCTTGACTCACTGCAACCTCCCCCTCAAGGGAGAAGCTGGGACTACAGGCACCCGCTACCACGCCCAGGTAATTTTTGTACTTGTAGTAGAGATGAGGTTTTGCCATGTTGGTCAGGCTGGTCTCAAACTCCCACCTTCAAGTGATCTGCCGGCCTTGACCTGATCCCAAAGTGCTGGGATTACAGGTGTGAGCCACTGTGCCCAGCCAATCAAGTGCAGGGTCTGCAAATTATCTTAAGCACTGATATTATGTCATATATATATTAAATATAACATATATATAATTTTTTTTTGAGACAAAGTCTGTCACCCAGGCTGGAGTTAAGTGGCATGATGTGGGCTCGCTGCAACCTCCGCCTCCCAGATTCAAGTGATTCTCCTGCCTTAGCCTCCTGAGTAGCTAGGATTACAGGTGCCCTCCACCATGCCTCGCTAATTTTTGTATTTTTAGCAGAGATGGGGTTTCAGTCAGGCTGATCTTGAACTCCTGACCTCAAGTGATCCACCTGCCTCAGCCTCCCAAAGTGCTGGGATTACAGGTGTGAGCCACCACACCTGGACTATATATGTAATTTTAAAAAATTAAAAGATTAAGCCGGACGTGGTGGCTCAAGCCTGTAATCCCAGCACTTTGGGAGGCTGAGGCAGGTGGATCACGAGGTCAAGAGATCGAGACCATCTTGGTCAACATGGTGAAACCCCGTCTCTGCTAAGAATACAAAACATTAGCTGGGCATGGTGGCGCACGCCTGTAGTCCCAGCTACTCAGGAGGCTGAGGCAGGAGAATTGCCTGAACCCGGGAGGCAGAGGTTGCGGTGAGCCGAGATCGCGCCATTGCACTCCAGCCTGGGTAACAAGAGTGAAACTCCGTCTCAAAAAAAAAAATAAAAAAAAATAAAAAATTAACAAATATGGAACCCTTCATGGATTTGTGTGTCATCCCTGCACAAGGGGCTGTGCTAATGTTCTCTGTATAGTTCCAATTTTAGTATATCTGTTGAAGCGAGCATAATCTTAGGTTTTGTTGGGTTTTTTTTTGAGCTGGAGTCTTGCTCTGTTGCCCAGGCTGGAGTGCAGTGGCGCGATCTTGGCTCACTGCAACCTCCACCTCCCAGGTTCAAATATTCTCCTACCTCAGCCTCCTGAGTAGCTGGCATACAGGCGTATGCCAGCTCTCTGGCCTAATTTTTGTATTTTTAGTAGAGATGGGGATGCATCACGTTGGTTAGGCAGGTCTTGGACTCCTGACCTTGTGATTGGCCCACCTTGGCCTCCGAAAGGGCTGGGATTACAGGTGTGAGCCACCGTACCCTGCCAATTTTAGGTTTTATATAGTGATGTTATCCCCAAGAGCAATTTGGGGAATGGTCAGAATCTTGTAGCCTCTGCCAAGTGCAGTAGCTGTTGCACTATTGCACTCCAGCCTGGGCAACAAGAGTGAAATTCTGTAAAAAAAAAAAAAAAAAAAATCATTTATCCTCCAGCTGCATGACTCCTAAACCATAATTTCTAAACTTTTGGCTGATTTTGTTAGTCCTACAAAGGCAATCTAGTCCCCAGGCAAGAAGGGGTTTATTTTGGGAAAGGGCTGTTGTCATCTTTGTTTTAAACTATAAACTAAGTTCCTCCCTAAGTTAGTTCAGCCTATGGCCAAGAATAAACAAGGACATCCTGGGGGTTAGAAGCAAGTTGGTTAGGTCAGATCTCTTTCACTGTCTCAGTTATAATTTTGCTATGGCGGTTTCAATAGGAGAGGGAATACATTCCAATTAAGAATAACAGCATACAGGCTCTTCTTGATCTTGTTCTGCCCCAAATGTAAGTTCTGCCCCTCATATTTTTACGACCTAAGACTCGAAAACCCCAGGAGGTTAGGAGTCTGTTCAAGGTCACACAGGTAGCAGAGAGGCATTCTGATCAGCGGGCTTCATTTGGGGCTCCAGATTTATAGCTGTTAAGAATGTGAGGACAAGCTTATTACATTGAAACGTGATGTACACTGGGAGGGATGTTAAACGTGCTCCAAGGCAAAATGAGTCTCCCAAATAACTGTATGAAGTATGAATAATGGTTCTATTTTTAAATTTTTTTTCTTTTTTCAGAGACAGGGTCTTACTTTGTCATTCAGGCTGGAGTACAGTGGCACCATCACAGCTCACTGTAACCTGGAACTTCTGGCCTCAAGTGATCCTCCTGCCTTGACCTCCCAAAGTGCTGGGATTATAGGTATGAGATACCACGTCCACAGATGAAACTATTTTAACATGAAATTCAAACAGATTCAGCTGGGCATGGTGGCTCATCCCTGTAATCCCAGCACTTTGGGAGGTCAAGATGGGTGGACCATGAGGTCAAATCGCTTGAACCTGGAAGGCGGAGGTTGCAGTGAGCCGAGATTGCACCACTGCACTCCAGCCTGGGTGACAAAGCGAGACCCCTTCTCAAAGAAAGAAAAAGAAATTCAAACAAATTCATGACAAGATAACAATACCAAATGATTGGCTAGACACCTTGGCTCATGCCTGTAATCCCAGCACTTTGGGAGGCCGAGGCAAGTGGATCACTTGAGGCCAGGAGTTCACGATCGGCCAGGCCAACGTGGCAAAACCCCATCTATATTAAAAATATAAAAACTAGCTGGGTATAGTGGCGTACCTGTAATCCCAGTTACTCAGGAGCCTGAGGCACGAGAATCACCTGAACCTGGGAGGCAGAGGTTGCAGTGAACTGATTGTGCCACTGCACTCCAGCCTGGGTGACAGAGTAAGACTGTTTAAAAAAAAAAAAAAATCATAACCTTATCATTACTCTTGCCTCTCTTTAAATAGGCAAACAATGACAATCTCATCACTCTGAAAAGAGGGTAAGATTTGGCTTCCAGCAGCAGTCCAGGTCAACATTGTGAAGAGGTATCAAAAGGTCATTTGGGCCGGGCGCGGTGGCTCAAGCCTGTAATCCCAGCACTTTGGGAGGCCGAGGGGGGTGGATCACAAGGTCAAGAGATCGAGGCCATCCTGGTCAACATGGTGAAACACCGTCTCTACTAAAAATACAAAAAAATTAGCTGGGCATGGTGGCGCATGCCTGTAATCCCAGCTACTCAGGAGGCTGAGGCAGGAGAATTGCCTGAACCCAGGAGGCGGAGGTTGTGGTGAGCCGAGATCGCGCCATTGCACTCCAGCCTGGGTCACAAGAGCGAAACTCCGTCTCAAAAAAAAAAAAAATGTCATTTGGGCCAGGTGTGGCGGCTCACACCTGTAATCCTAGTACTTTGGGAGGTGGAGGCAGGACTATCTCTTGAGCCCAGGAATTTGAGACTAGCCTGGGAAACATAGCTAGACCTTGTGTCTATATTTTTTATATTAAAAAAGGGCGATTTGGTCCTACTCAAAGGAAATAGGCAACTCTGCCCTTAGCCAGACCAGGACCACACTAGGACCAGCCTTTGGTTCAGTGTGGTCAAGAACTTCCTACCAAAGAGAGATGACCCTTAGGAGAGGTCTCCCTATTACTGGCCTTGAAAAAGCAAACATGGAACATTTATTTAGTGGGGTTATTGCAGAAGGCATGTGCCCAGGAGGTAGAGACAGCCTGATCTCTGGAGACTGGGTCACCCTGGTTGAGAATCATGGCACCTTCTCTCATAATTTACTTTAGTGTGGTGCATGTTAGGACAGAAGTCAGGCCTAATTACAGCAGACTGCCTGCAGGGAGTGGTAGGAGGTAAAATATCACAGGGACAGTTCCTGGGAAGTTTGTTCTAGCTGGAAGGCTAGCATGAGATCACTCAGATTCTCCAAGGCTCTGGAGAGAGTACTTCTCCGGAAGCATCCCTCTGGTCTTGTGAGAGTACTAAGCCTTACAGGACTTTGCTGCGACTCTGGGAAAGACAGTACAGAATAGACAAATGGTTTATCAATTTAGGAGGGCCCAAGTATCACCTTGGGAAGTTTACAAAGGCAATATTCTCAGATCAGACTTTAGAGAGCTTAATCCCATCTGGAGTGGGGCTCAGGATTCTGGTTTTTTGTTTTGTTTTGTTTTTTGTTTTTTGTTTTTTTTTGAGAGCGAGAGGGTATTGGCTCTGCCACCCAGGCTGGAGTGCAGAGGTGCAGTTTCTGTTCACTGAAACCTCCGCCTCCTGGGTTCAAGCCATTCTTGTTCCTCAGCTTCCCAAGTAGTTTTGATTACAGGCGTGCACCACCACACCCAGTTAATTTTTTTGTATTTTTAGTAGAGATGGGATTTCACCGTATTGGCCAGCCTGGTCTCAAAACTCCTGACCTCAGGTGATCTGCCTGCCTCAGCCTCCCAAAGTGCTGGGTTTACAGGCATGAGCCACTGTGCTCGGCTTTTTTTTTTTTTTTTTTTTTTTTCTGTCGCCCAGACTGGAGTGCGGTGGTATGATCTTGGCTCACTATAACCTCTACCTTCCAGGTTCAAGTGATTCTCCTACTTTAACCTCCCGAGTAGTTGGGAATACAGACGTGCACCACAACACCCTGTTAATTTTTGTATTTTTAGTAGAGACAGGGTGTCACCATGTTGTCCAGGTTAGTCTTGAATTCACCTCAGGTGACCTGCTTGCCTCAGCCTCCCAAAGTGCTGGGATAACAGGCAAGAGCCACGAACTTTGTCTGGATACTGCACTTTTTTTTTTTTTTTTTTTTGAGACAGTCTTGCTCTGCCACCAAGCTGGAGTGCAGTGGTACAATCTCTGCTCACCGCAACCTCTGCCTCCTAGGTTAAAGTGATTCCCCTGCCTCAGCCTCCCGAGTAGCTCTGACTACAGGGGCCCACCAACATGCCTGGCTAATTTTTTGTATTTTAGGGGTTTCACCATGTTGGCCAGGATGGTCTCGATCTCCTGACCTCATGATCCGCCCACCTTGGCCTCCCAAAGTGCTGGGATTACAGGTGAGCCACTGCGCTGGGCTTTTTTTTTTTTTTCCTCTCATCTCAGCCTCCTGAGTAGCTGGGATGACAGGTATGTGCTACCACGCCTGGCTAATTTTTTTTTTTAAAAGATGGGGTTTCACCATGTTGGTCAGGCTGGTCTTGAACTGCCGACCTCAGGTGATCCGCCCACCTTGGCCTCCAGTCTTTGGATTATGGGCATGACCCACCACGCCCAGCTGACGCCTGACTAATTTTTATATTTTTAGTAGAGATGAGGTTTCACCATCTCAGGCTGGTGCTGAACTCCTGACCTCGTGACCCAGCCGCCTTAGCCTCCCAAGGTACTAGGATGACAGGTATGAGCCACCTCACCCAGCCAGTGCTAATTATTCTTAGGGGAGGTACATAAAAACATCATTTATTGTTAGAAATCATGACATGACACAAAGTCAAAATCCACTTTTATTTTTCACATGTCTTGTGAAAGACAACAGAGAGCCATGCTCAGCAGCTTCTTCTCCAATGTTGGCCAGCAGCTCATCCGGCCCTCAAGTGGCTGAAAGGGCAGCCCAGAGCCTCCCACTGACAGGTGTGCGCTCACCCACCAAAGACACTGGAAATATCCCTGTTCTAGCACCACATTTTACTCAGATTTGTCAAAATCAGGTTGCTGTGGCAAAAGCTCTTTCACTGAGGATGGCAGTCCTGGAAGACTTCTCTTTCGGCGAGCCGCCAGCTCAATCTTCTGAACTAGGCTCACATCCCAGGGATGGGTCACAAAACTGATGACGGTGCCTGGAACCTCACTCCCCACACGGCCCACTCTCCCTGCTCTATGAATGTAATCTTGCAGTGTGGAGGGGAAATCATAATTGACAACCAGCTCCACACCAGTGCTGTCCAGGCCCCGAGAAGCTATGTCTGTGCAGAGAAGTATGTCTTGGGAGCCCTTCTGGAAGGACTGGAAGATACCTGCCCTCATCAAGGCTGGCATTTGCCCCTGCAACCTTAAGTGTTGGATTTTGAGGTCATCCAGAATATATCCCAGCCAGTTCACGGTGCTGGAGCTATTACAGAACACCAGAACAGTTCCTGAGGGGCCAGTCTTTTCTGCTCTGTCATGATGCTTGAGGATGTGCACCAGCTCGGTCACCTTATCTGCTCCCTTCAGTCTCAGAAATGTCTGTTTCACATGAGGCATGATACAGTGGAGCTTCGAGCTGGTGATGGTGGTGACAGAATCTGCACTGGCGACTTTATTCAGCAACTGGCCTACACCTTCGGGAAATGTGGCTCCTACCAGCACTAACTGAGCTTTGGGATTGAAGGGGTCTTCCAAGTCAGCTGGGCCTTCCGCGATGTTGCTCTTCTCCAAGACGTAGTATGTAAGTTCCAGGAAGCTTTCATCCAGCAGTGTGTCTGCCTCATCCAACACCAAGAAGGAGAGTTGCTCCAGGCTGATAAGTCGCCTTCTCAGGGCTTTCCACAGTGCCCCTGGAGTGGCCACTAGCACATCGGCTGAAGGTTGTTTGGACAGTTGCAACCTGATCCTATGCATGCCACGGCCTCCCTCCAGGTCCTGCACCAGCAGGCCCAAGGAGCGCCCCAAGGGTTGGGCCACGGCCCGCACCTGTTGGGCCAATTCTCGGGAAGGCACAAGAACCAGACCTCGGGGCATGGGGATACGAAGAGGGTCCAGGCTTGGCCGGCCCATGAGCCGTTGAAGTAGCGGCAGGAGGTAGCTGAGAGTCTTGCCACTGCCGGTTTCTGCGGCGCAAAGGATGTGGCGGCCGCGAAGTAGTGGGGGGATGGTGTTAGACTGCACGGTTGTGGGCTGAACGACTTCAGGTGCAGCCTCCCGTAGTGCGTGGAGCACACGGGGCTCCAGACCAAGGTCAGCAAAACTGTCCCCGGACGAGGGCTTCTGCACCGCTGGCGCCTTCTGTTGCGCGCGCTCGATGGAGAAGTGGTCCCGACGCGCGCGTCGACTCTTCCAGCCTCGAGAGGCTAGCGGGGCGATCTCCCAACGGCCCAGAGTGAGGCGAGTTGGCTGGTTGAACTCTGGCCGCCGCGCCGAGACCAGCAGCGGTCCAGGTCGCACCGGCACCGGCCCCGGGAGGCTCCGCCGTCTGCTCTGCCGCTGTTTCAACTTCCGCTGTAGAGCCACTGGGATGCGCACTACCGGCAGAGGTTCGTCTGGACTGCGGACCGCCAGGCCCCGTCGGGGAGCTAGGAGCAACCGAGCCACTAGAGAAAACAGCCGTACCGGCCGCGGTATAGCCATGTTTCCCTTGGTGCGGGAGAAGCGCACATCAATGACGTCACGGACGCGCGGCAGCCTCGCATACGGTGGCTGTCGAGGCTCAGTACGGTTTGCGGAGCTGGAGTCCCGTGAGGAAGAGAGGGAGGTTCTCTTAAGAGTTCAGCTGCGAGGTCTGTAGCTCCGAATCGGGGATGGCGATATCCAGACCCTGCCAGCCTTGGGGAAGGGCGCGTCGTGGAGGCAGGACTGGAGGCTGGCGATACGAGGCGGCTGTGGGACCTTGGCCCAATGGACCATGAGGGCGGAGGGCTTTTGGCGATTGGGTACCTGGTTCCTGGGATTCTCTTTAGTTGTTCCTCATTGCCCCGATATATCTTGCAACCCTTAGGTTGCAGCTGTTTTCCCAGATGTGTTTCCTGCGCATGGTGTGGTAATCCGTGTTTATCGAGAGTCTGAATGAATGGTCAGGCCTAGGGGCAGAGACAGGGGTCTGAAGTCATAGATCTGGACTCAATCCCTCACCCCCTCCTACCGAGAGCCCAGAGTGCAAGCTGATGGCTTTCACCTTCTCTCTCAAGTGGGAGGTAAGGCCTTCAGGCTTTTTTTCAAGCTGGGTCATCTCTTCACACTTACTTTCCTTCCTTTTCAGCCAAGGTTCACTCTCTACTCCCTCGTCACCCCTTCCAACTTCTCATCTTGAACCCACCCCTCTTGCATACCGCTCAGCTCCTCTGGCTTCCCCGTCAGAAACCTAAATTGCTTGAATAGGAGTAAGGAGGGTGCTGCGACCCTACAAAGTGATCAGGCACGTGGTTTATCATGTAGCCCTGGTCAGGCGGAATATTTTACCTGAATTCAGATATTTGGGTTGTAAAAACAAGAACTTACACGAGTCACACTTTTTTTTTTTTTTTTTTTTTTTTTTTTTTTTTTTTTTTGAGACGGAGTTTCGCTCTTGTTACCCAGGCTGGAGTGCAATGGCGCGATCTCGGCTCACCGCAACCTCCGCCTCCTGGGTTCAGGCAATTCTGCTGCCTCAGCCTCCTGAGTACCTGGGATTACAGGCATGCGCCACCATGCCCAGCTAATTTTTTTGTATTTTTAGTAGAGACGGGGTTTCACCATGTTGACCAGGATGGTCTCGATCTCTTGACCTCTTGATCCACCCGCCTCGGCTTCCCAAAGTGTTGGAATTACAGGCGTGAGCCACTGCGCCCGGCCTTTTTTTTTTTTTTTGAGACACAGTCTCACTCTGTCACCTAGGCTGGAGTGCAGTGGCGCGATCTTGGCTCGTTGCAATTTCCGCCTCCCAGGTTCAAGCAATTCTTCTGCCTCTGCCTCCCGAGTAGCTGGGACTAAAGGTGCACACCACCACACCCAGCTAAGTTTTTGTATTTTTAGTAAATACAGGGTTTCACCATGTTGGCTTGACTGGTCTCAAACTCCTGGCCTCAAGCGATCTACCCACCTCTGCCTCCCAAAGTGATGGGATTACAGGCATGAGCCACTGTGCACAACAGATACTTCTTGAACAGATCTGGAAAATGGGTGTCAGATCTTTTCTGTAGTCTGCAGTGCCTGGGGTGGAAGATAAGGTAAATATTTGTGGATTAACACTCTGGGAGGTTCATAACATCTGGAGAAAACGTTTTAATGTCTCCAAATATCATTGACAAGATAAAAATTTTGTTTTTTTGGAATAGTATGAGGAAAAACTGTCACAGTTTTAAATAGACTGTACCCTTGTGCTACATAATTAGAGTTTCTGGAGAGTTACCAGATAAACTAGAGGCAGAGAGAGGCCATTTCCCCACAAGAAAACATCTGCAAGTACTAAGAGGACCTTTGGAGTAGTGATGGGTGAATGAGTAGTCATTGGATAAGGTAGTGGGTTTTTTTTTTTTGTTTTGTTTTGTTTTTTTTTGAGATGAAGTCTCACTCTGTTGCCCAGGCTGGAGTGTAGTGGCACGATCTTGGCTCACTGCAACCTCCACCTCCCAGGTTTAGGCAATTCTCCTGCCTCAGCCTCCTGAGTAGCTGGGATTACAGGCATGTGCCACAATGCCCAGCTAATTTTTGTATTTTTAGCAGAGTTGGGGTTTCACCATGTTGGTCAGGCTGGTCTCCAACTCCTGACCTCGTGATCCAGCCACCTCGGCCACCCAGAGTGCTGGGATTACAGGCATGAGCGACCGCGCCTGGCAAGGTAGTGGTTTTAAAACAAGGGTGATTTTGGCCTTTCCCTGCCACCACATTTGACAATGGCTGGAGACTTTTCTTTTTCTTTTTTCTTTTTTGGAAACAGTCTCGCTCTGTCAGCCAGGCTGGAGTACAGTGGTGCAGTCTTGGCTCACTGCAGCCTCTGCCTTCAGGGTTCAAGGGATTCTCCTGCCTCAGCCATCTGAGTAGCTGGGATTACAGGCATATGCTACCATGCCCAACTAATTTTTGTATTCTTAGTAGAGATGGGGTTTCACCATGTTGCTCAGGTTGGTCTGGAACTCCTGACCTCGTGATCCTCACACCTTGGCCTCCCAAAGGGCTGGGATTACAAGCACGAGCTGCCTTGCCCGGCCCAATTCCATGTTACTTTTCACAAACTCAGGGCTCCTCTTTATCTAAATAGTTCCTTGGGGCTAGGTTCATGCCTGTAATCCCAGCTACTAGGAAGGCTGAGGCAGGAGAATCTTGAAACTGGGAGGCAGAGGTTACAGCGAACCGAGATTGTGCCATTGCACTCCAGCCTGGGCGACAGGGTGAGACAACGTCTCAAAAAACAAAAAAAGTTCCTTGGATGTTTGTCCCAACAGGTTTCATCCATTTCCATGTGCCACTGTTTTTAAGATATAAAACAAAGAATTCCTTGTACAAAGCCAGAATGAATATATCAAAGTAATTCTGAAGTATCAGAAAAAAAAATAATAGGTATTTATGTGCATTTGGGTTTTTGGGTTCTGTTCAAATGTCCAGGGCAGGGTAGCTGGTTAATATACAGTTGTTTTCCCATTATACTGGAGCCCTTACAATATGATTACCAAAAAATCTCACAGGGGCTAAAGCTTGCCTGAGCCTGTCTGTGCCCATGGCCCCTAATTTCTTCTTGTGACATCACTAGTCATTGCCTACCCTTTTTCCCGCTCACTCACAGTAGACACTGAGTAACTTCTTTTTTTTTTTTTTTTTTTTTTTTTTGAGACGGAGTTTCGCTCTTGTTACCCAGGCTGGAGTGCAATGGCGCGATCTCGGCTCACCGCAACCTCCGCCTCCTGGGTTCAGGCAATTCTCCTGCCTCAGCCTCCTGAGTAGCTGGGATTACAGGCACGTGCCACCATGCTCAGCTAATTTTTTGTATTTTTAGTAGAGACGGGGTTTCACCATGTTGACCAGGTTGGTCTCGATATCTCAACCTTGTGATCCACCAGCCTCAGCCTCCCAAAGTGCTGGGATTACAGGCTTGAGCCACCGCGCCCGGCTGACACTGAGTAACTTCTAATTGGTTTCTTGAGATGCTTTTTATAAGCAGTGCTTTAGAAATAGGAAAGGTATAGCGGCCGGGCGCGGTGGCTCAAGCCTGTAATCCCAGCACTTTGGGAGGCCGAGGCGGGTGGATCACAAGGTCGAGAGATTGAGACCATCCTGGTCAACATGGTGAAACCCCATCTCTACTAAAAATACAAAAAATCAGCTGGGCATGGTGGCGCGTGCCTGTAATCCCAGCTACTCAGGAGGCTGAGACAGGAGAATTGCCTGAACCCAGGAGGCGGAGGTTGCGGTGAGCCGAGATCGCGCCATTGCACTCCAGCCTGGGTAACAAGAGCGAAACTCCATCTCAAAAAAAAAAAAAGAAAAAAAAAAAGAAATAGGAAAGGTATACTTATTGTGAAAAAAATCTAAGCTCCTGGGAGCAGGAGCTTGATGTGTTCCTTGGATCTCAGTTAATAATGGTATAGTCATTCATTCATTCATTCAACAAATACTTCCTGAGCACCATGCATGTGCCAGGCACTGACAGTGAGCAAAACAGACAAAATTCCTGCCCTGTGGAGTTTACATTCTGATTTAATTGATTTGGGGTAAGGCCTAGACAGGGTATTGCTGTGTCACCCAGGCTAGATTGCAGTGGTGCAATCTTGACTCACTGCAACCTCTGCCTCCCAGGTTCAGGTGGTTCTTCTGCCTCAGCCTCCCCAGTAGTTGGGATTACAGGTGCATGCTACCACACCTGGCTAATTTATGTATTTTTAGTAGTGATGGGGTTTTGCCATGTTGGCCAGGCTGTTCTACAACTCCTATCCTCAGCTTGGCCTGCCTTGGCCTCCCAAAGTGCTGGGATTACAGATGTGAGCCACTGCGCACAGCCTAGAAACTGGAATTTTTAAAAACCTCTCCAGATGTAACCAGGCTTGAGAATCATAGTTATAAATGAAGCACTTTGGGAATTGCAAGGCATTACAACAATAAAAAGGGCTGTTAGGCTGGGCGCGGTGGCTCACACCTGTAATCCTAGCACTGGGAGGCCAGGTGGGTGGATCACCCAAGGTCAGGAGTTCAAGACCATTCTTGCCATCATGGCGAAACCCCATCTTTAAAAAAAAAAAAAAAAGTGCTGTTAGTATTCCTTCATTGTTCCTCCATTTTCCCACCTATAGCAAGGCTGTTGTGCAGGTAATTGTATTTTCAGTCATTGTCACTGTAGTATGCCTGGACCCTTTTACCTTCCTTCTAATCCAGCTCCCTACCTCCTCTTTGTCTTCTACCTTCGGAAACCTTCTGTTTCCCGAGTGCTGTTATTAAGCACATCTTTGGCCGTGTTGCCCTTTGACTCAAAAGCCACTCACGAATCCCTGTTGCCTACAAATTATTTCCTAATCAGTATCCGGAACTGGGCTCAACTTCCTCTCCTGTTGCTTCCTTATCTGAATCTTGTTCATTCAAGTGGTAGCTCTCCTGCAAGTTAGCTACAGGGCTTCTAGTCCTTTATTGGATAAGCCAGAGAATGGAGGTCTCCTCCAAAACCAAACTTGAATGATAACAAAGCACTTTAAATGCACTTTGGCTGGGATAGAGTTCTTCTGTGAGTGAAACATGAACTGAATCATAGCTCTTGTTGTACTTGGTCCATTAACTTCTGTTTTTTTTTTTTTTTTTTGAGATGGAGTTTCGCTGTTGT